CATGAATAACAGACCTATTGTATGTTATTAAGGAGAAGTTAGGAATGTTCAAAGTACCACCTTTGAGGCTGACATCAAGAACTCCCATGCCTGGCCAGGTGTGGTGGCTCACAACCGTAATTCCAGCACGTTGGGAGTCCAAGGCAGGAGGATTGCTTGAGGCCAGGCGTTCAAGAACAGCCTAGGAAACATAGTGAGACCCTGTTCCTACAAAAAATAAAAAGTTAGCTGGGCATGGTGGCATGCACCTGTGGTCCCAGCTACCCGGGAGGCTGAAGTGACAGCATCTCTTAAGTCTAGGAATTCGACCCGGAAATGAACTATGCTTATACCACTGCACTCCAGCCTGGGTGACAGAGCAGAGACCCTGTATCCACAAGCAAAAAGCAATAACAAAAAAAGAAAGAAAGAGAGAAAAAGAGAAGGAAAAAAAGAAAGAGGAAGGAAGGAAGGAGACCCTGTATCAAAAAACAAAAAAACAAGAAAGGAAAGGAAAGGAAGAAAGAAATAGAGAAAGAGAGAAAGAAAGAAGGAAAGAAAGAAAAAGAGAAGGAAGGAAGGAAGGAAGGAAGGAAGGAAGGAGAGAAGGAAGGGGGGAGGGAGGGAAGGAAAACGGAACTCCTGTTTCCTATATCCTCCCAGAGTGTATCTCTAGGGGACCCTGTCAAATGACAGGCACTAGGTTGAAAATTTGATGTGTTAATTGTGAAAAATAGGAGAGACTGTTTGGCATTAAGTTTCAGCATTTAAAATTTCATCAGAGTTGAGAACTATAAAACGATCTGTTGATTTGTACATTTAAAACCTCAAGACTTTTTTCTCAAACAAAATATTTAAAGGAACCCACTTATTATTATTATTATTATTTTTTTTTTTTTTTTTTGAGACGGAGTTTCACTCATGTTACCCAGGCTGGAGTGCAATGGCGCGATCTCGGCTCACTGCAACCTCCGCCTCCTGGGTTCAGGCAATTCTCCTGCCTCAGCCTCCTGAGTAGCTGGGACTACAGGCATGCACCACCATGCCCAGCAGATTTTTTGTATTTTTAGTAGAGACGGGGTTTCACCATGTTGACCAGGATGGTCTCGATCTCTTGACCTCGTGATCCACCCGCCTCGGCCTCCCAAAGTGCTGGGATTACAGGCTTGAGCCACCACGCCCGGCCTATTATTATTATTATTATTATTTGAGATGGAGTCTCTCTCTGTTGCCCAGGCTGGAGTGCAATGGCGCAATCTCCGCCTCCCTGGGTCAAACAATTCTCCTACCTCAGCCTCCCAAGTAGCTGAGATTACAGGCATGCACCACCATGACTGGTTAATTTTGTATTTGTAATAGAGACAGGGTTTCACCATGCTGGCCAGGCTGGTCTCGAACTTCTGACCTCATGATCTGCCCACCTCAGCCTCCCAAAGTGTTGTGATTACAGGCGTGAGCCACCGATCCGGGCCAGGACCCCACTTTTTACAAATTATGTGGTGGAACAACCTTCCTTCCATGAATCTCTTTTCCAGGGTACATGGGAGATAAGGGGGTGGGGGAAGACCAGGGCTTTTAGGCCTGACTCTTCCTGGTTTTACTGGAAGACTGCTTTGTAAAGTACCCAAGGATTTACATTCAGGAAAAGCTCTTTAAGCATTAGACCAAAGCTGAGTGAGCTGGGAGGTTTTGGATCTCACATGCAGACCTGATAATGGGCATTGGCAGGTTCTTAATCCTTGGAGAGCAAGACGACTCCCTCTGCCCACATGATGTGCATGCAGATAATAAAGACACACGGCTGGGAGGCAGAGGCAGGCGGATCACGAGGTCGGGAGATCAAGGCCATACTGGCTAACACGGTGAAACCCCGTCTCTACTAAAAATACAAAAAAATTAGCCGGGTGTGGTGGCATACACCATAGTCCCAGCTGCTCAGGAGAATCTCTTGAACCCAGGACGTGGAGGTTGCAGTGAGCCGAGATCGGGCCATTGCACCACTCCAGCCTGTGAGACAGAGTGAGAATTTGTCTCAAAAAAAAAAAAAAAAGGAACATAAAAATAAAACCAAGTTATCCCCCCGTTTTTCCTCCTCTCCCAGCCCCCCCCCCCCACCCCGCTCTTCCTCTCTGCCAAGCACAGGGCCAATTGGAGGACAAGGTATTGACCGTGTCTGTAAAGAGATTCTGGCTGTAACAGACAGGTGGGACTGACTCACTTTTTAGAACGGTTTAACTGGAGAATGTGCAGGCAGGGATGAGTTAAAGACACAAGGGCCGGGGGTAATGGAAGTGGAGGGAACATTACGAGGAATGGATAGAGGCTCATGGAGACACAGGCAGACTCAACAGCTGTCAAGGGCACAGTCTAAAGCTATGGGAGCTAAGACTCCACACTCTTGAATAGTACAAGGAGACACGGTAGCTCGATGGGGCAAGCTACACTTCTGTGTTACTGCCTCCCCTTAATCCCCTGGGGTCTACATTTTCTCCTTGGAGAAGTTGAAGGTAGCAAGAACAAGCACGAGAGTTATAGAAATGTAACTTACTTTTCCAAAACTAAACCTAATTTTGGCTGGGTCGATGACTCACACCTGTAATTCCAGCACTTTGGGAGGCCAAGGTGGGCGAATCACCTGAGGCCAGGAGTTCGAGACCAGCCTGGCCAACTTGGTGAAACCCCATCTATACTAAAAATACAAACAATTACGCAGGCGTGGCAGTGGGTGCCTGTAGTCCCAGCTACTTGGGAGGCTGAGGCAGGAGAATCACTTGAACCAGGGAGGCGGAGGCTGCAGTGAGCCGAGATGGTGCCATTTGCACTCCAGCCTGGGCAACAAGAGCAAACCTCCATCTCAAAAAGAAAAATAAAGAAAAACAAAATAAACTTAATTTCTCTCACAAACCTGCATTCTGCCAAGTGGCATGGACGTTATCTCAGCCGATTACTGGTCCTCTCAGTCTGTTCTGATGCCAGTCCTGGTGACAGGGGTTCTTGTCTGTTATCTCTAAGAGGTGGTATCCCCCAAAGCACCTCTCTAACTATCTGTACTCTGACATTTGGTCTCTGTAAGTTTCTCTTTGTTATATCTTTCTGATCCAATGGATAGCCTCTGTGTTGAGGATCCCAAAATCAGCCCCAGACTGGAGTAGTCACCAGGAGAACTTGCAGATTTCATCCTACACTTGTCCTTATGTCTTACTTATTTATTCATTCATTCATTCATTCATTCTGAGACAGAGTCGCCCAGGCTGGAGTGCAGTGGCATGATCTCAGCTCACTGCAACCTCCATCTCCCAGGTTCAAGCAATTTTCCTACCTCAGCCTTCTGAGTAGCTGGGATTACAGGTGCCCACCATTACAATGCCCAGCCCATTTCCGTATTTTTAGTAGAGACTGGGTTTTACCATGTTGGCCAGGCTGGTCTCAAACTCCTGACCTCAGGTGATCTGCCCACCTCAGCCTCCCAAATTGCTGAGATTCCAGGCGTGAGCCACCGCGTCCAGCCTATGCCTGTGATTTACTGCAGTGAAAGAATACACAACAGAATCATCAAAGGGAAAAAACATATGGGGCAAAGTCCAAGGAAAGCAGGTTCGAACTTCCAAGAGTCCTCTCTCAGTGGAGTCACTTAGGATGTGCTTAGTTCCTCCAGCAAAGAGTGTGATAATATGTGAAAAACATTGTCTATCTCAGTGTCCAAGGTTTTTACTGGGGGCTCATCACGCAGGCACCCTCTGTTCAGCAAAGGCTCCCATCAGCAAAGCAGGCACTCAGCATACATCACATTGTTTGTTCAAACCAATTGGGCACAGTGAGTCAATCTTATCAGTTGGAGAAATTCTTCCAAAATCCAAGTCTCCAGATGCCAGCCAAAGGCCAATCTTGCAAAGAAATCTCTCTAAGGACAAGTCTCAGGCCTGTTCTGTTAACTCTTTTCTGCCCAGCCCTTTCATCTCTCACAGAATCTTCTGCCGAGTCTGTGCTGCTGTTGGACATCCAGGAAAAGTATTCTTTAGCTCAGATGCCCTGAGAGGTGGGAAAACCCATGGTCTTGCTATATCCTGAGATCTTTTGTTTGCTAGGGTTTTGCTGCCTTTCTGGGCTCTGCCCAGTATGAGGAAACCCAGGGTTCTCTGATCTCTGACTCCCCAAATCTACCTGTTGAATTTCTTGTTGCTCCTCTTCCTCTATTTCTAGGACTTAGCCAAGGGAAGCAGGTTGCAAAGCCTTCTCGTGGAACTCACCAACATCGGAGGATGTTTGCTATCCCTTAGCCTTGCTCTCTTTTCCCTGTTTAGAGGACTTTTTTTTTGCATTTTACAGACAGGGTCTGGCTGTCACGAAGGCTGGGGTGCAGTGGTGCAATCATAGCTTACTCCAGCCTCAAACTCCTGAGATCAAGCCATCCTCTCATCTCAGCCTCCTGAGTAGCCTGAACTACAGGTGTGCACCACCATACGCCACTAAGTTTTTAATTTTTTGTATAGATGGGAGTCTCACTATGTTGCCCAGGCTGTTCTTGAACCCCTGGCCTCAAGAGATCCTCCCACCCCAGTCTCCCCAAATACTGGGATGCCCAGCCATTTAAATAAATTCAGAAGCAACAAATGGTAAAAGAAGTAAGGGCAGGAGAACCATGGATGATATCCTCTTTATCCCCAGCTCCACACTATCACCTCCTCCTTATCACCAGGCAGCTCAGGCAGTGGCAGGTGGATACTATGGTACAAGTATCTGCTTGCAGAAGAAGATCAGATTGAGGATACAACTGGCTGCATTTTCCACAAGCAGAGTTTTTCCCCCCTCTTCCCTTCCCTTGAGCCTCCCTCCCATCCCTGGAGCTCTTCAGAATAGTTACTCACGCATTTGTGTTCAGAGACGGAGCGGGAAAGCAGTTTCTCTTTAAAACCCACACCAGGTATGTGCCTATCATCTCAGCTATGTGGGAGGCCAAGGAGGGAGGATCACTTGAGTGCAGGAGGTCAAGGCTGCAGTGAGCTATGATCGTACCACTGCACTCCAGCCTCGGTGACAGAATGCAACCCTGTCTCAAAAAATAAATACATAAATTAAAAATAAAAACCCAGCCAGGCGCGGTGGCTCACACCTGTAATCCCAGCACTTTGGGAGGCCAAGGGGTGCGGATCACCTGGTCAGGAGCTCCAGACCATCCTGGCCAACATGGTGAAACCCTATCTCTACTAAAAATACAAACATCAGCTGGGCATGATGGCATGTGCCTGTAATCCCAGCTACTCGGGAGGCTGAGGCAGGAGAATCACTTGAACCAGAGAAGCAGAGGTTGCAATGAGCTGAGATCGCACCACTGAACTCCAGCCTGGCGACAGAGCAAGACTCTGTCTCGAATAAATAAATAAATAAACAAATAAAATCCCTAGCAATACATTCAAGAATGGCATTGTGCACTCAAGAACAAAACTCTGTTCAGAGAATATACAGGGTCTCCCCCTGGGGGGAAGCCTCCTTATCCTCCACTCCCTGTACTTCACTTTCTCCGTATGACTTTGGAAATGTAGACAAATCAAAGCCAATCGCTCACAGGTGAGGGGGTGGGTTTACTTTTCAGATTCCACATTTTATTTCCACTAGAGAGTGTATGACATTGACAAGTCAAACTAGTGGAATGTGGCCCCATTTTGGTGAATACCAAGGTATGTGATGATGCTGTTTCCTTTTCGTTTTTGTTTTTTGTTTTTTTATTTCTGTGACGATGCTGTTTCTACACACACAATGTTTTAATTTGGAAGAAATGGACAAAAATATAACTCAGTTTTAGAATGTGGCATGCATATGAGAATGCAGACTAGAGGTCTGATCATGATAAAATTCGATTTAGTTTAATTAGCAGGAGCATTAATCATGTGGTGGATACTTAATTTCTTGATTTTTAAAAATCTTCTTAAACTGTGGAAATACCATGTCTAGCTCTAGAAGCCTGGGTCTTTTAAATTCTTTTCCATGTTTTAGATTAAATTTTGATTCTTCATTAAATGATATTTTCCCCCCAGTGCTTTCACTTGGTATTTCCATATTTTAAAGGAGCCCACGGCAAGAGAAAATTGCATAATAGATGCTGAGAAACAGAACAGCTGTGATTAATTCAAGTGGGTTTGCTCAGGTAAAGTGTATTCATCATCTGCATTAATATAGCGTGTCTTCGGCAAGAATGAAATTATCGCCTCTTTCCCTGGGTGAGTCTCAGTGGGGCCATGATACTGTCATTGGTTTAGAAACAGTAAGAATAAAGCAAGCCTTTATAACGAAGCTTAGATACAGTCAAGCCATAAGATATATTTGAGACAGCTGGACTTTTGGATTCAGTGAACAGGAGATTGGGTCTTTATTAAACACCTGTAAAAGTCAGATACTGTGCTGAGCTGGAGGTGAAACAACGAGTGACCAGCACCAGGTCACACAGGCCATGTCATTTCCCAAGGCTGTGCCTTGGATCTGCTGATAATCTGCCTTCTCACAGTGTCTCATTGACTGTTACAGAGCTTAGGTTCAAGTACAACCGTAAGAGCTGCTAAATCTAAGGGGAACTAGTGACGTGAGCAGGTTTGGGGTCATTGCTGATAAGCCAAACACACCAATGACACACCGGATCCTAGATCCCAGCAAGGCCATGGCTTGTTCCAGAAGAGCGTTTTTTGGGGCAGCCCACAGCTGCATCTAATCCCTGCCCCATTCCCAGCCCTAGGGAGTGTTTCTATCTGTTTGAAAGCCATTGTTGTCTGAGAGTGAGGACTACAGCTGCTAATCTACATGGTAGAAGGATCCACATGCATCTGCCATTGTCCCCTTTTGGCTTGTGAGATGAATTTTCACTCTTGTTGCCCAGGCTGGAGTGCAGTGGCGCAATCTCAGCTCACCGCAACCTCCGCCTCCCGAGTTCAAGCGATTCTGCTGACTCAGCCTCCCAAGTAGCTGGGACTACAGGCGTGCGCCATCATGCTTGGCTAATTTTGTATTTTTATTAAAGACAGGTTTCTATATTATATTTTTAGTAGAGACAGCTCTCCACATTGGTCAGGCTGGTCTCAAACTCCCGACCTCACGTGATCCGCCCACCTCGGCCTCCCAAAGTGCTCGGATTACAGGCGTGCACCACCACGCCCGGCCTGTCCTCCTTTTTGCCCGTGACCAGAAGCCTGGCATGAGGACAGAATCCAGTCCTTGGCACACCCCTGTGCAGGTTGCTGGGCTTGCTCTGAGCTATGCTTGTATCGTGTAGGTATGCGTGCGTGTGTGCATGTACATGTTGTTATTTGGGAGAAACATCACGACAAAGAAAGGAGAAAAGAAAAAGTTTAATTTTCGTAGTAAATTCTGGCACTGAAACAGTTATCCTCAGTGACCTCGGCTATATTCCAATCCTTCCCAGATCTTGGGTAGACCTCTGCTCCAACATTCGATTTGTTAAAAGAAAAACCTTAGGCAAATTACATTTAACAAAGTATAACAGAGCAAAGAATGATCTGCGAATCCGGCAGCCCTCAAGCCAGAGTAGCTTCCAGTGCAGAGGGAGGCTCTGTGAGAGGCTCCAGTGCAGCCACGTGGTGGAAGGTTTATGGACAGAGAAAGGAAAGTGATGTACGGAAAATGGAAGTGAGGTACAGAAATAGCCAGATTGGTTACAGCTCAGCATTTGCCTTATGTGATGGTTAACACTGGTACCTTTCTCACTGCAATGGTTATGACGCTCCCTTTTCCTTTCTCTCAAGAAAGAAAGTAGGATGGATAAAAAGTACAGATGTGGCTGGGCACGGTGGCTCACCCCTGTAATCCCAGCACTTTGAGAGGCTGAGGTGGGTGGATCATGAGATCAGGAGTTCCAGACCAACCTGGCCAGTATAGTGAAAACCGGTCACTACTGAAAATACAAAAATTAGCCGGGCATGATGGTGCGCACCTGTAGTCCCAGCTACTAGAGAGTCTGAGGCAGAAGAATTGCTTGAACTCAGGAGGCAGAGGTTACAGTGAGCCGAGATCAGGCCACTGCACTCCAGCCTGGTGACAGAGTGAGACTCCATCTAAAACAAACAACACAAAAAGTACAGATGTTGGCTGAGTGCAGTGGTGCTCACGTGTAATCCCAGCACTTTGGGCGGCCAAGGTGGGTGGATCACTTGCACTCAGGAATTCAAGACCAGCCTGGACAACATGGCGAGACACTGTCTCTACAAAAAAATACCAAAATTAGCCAAGTGTGGTGGTGCATGCCTGCGGTCCCAGCTGCCTGGGAGGCTGACATTGGAGAATTGCTTGAGCCTAGGAGGTGGAGGCTGCAGTGAGCCATGGGAAACAGAGTGAGAACCTGTTGCTAAAAAATGATAATAAAATGAAATAAAATAAAAAGTGTTATATCTCACTCATAAGGACATTTTATTATTTTTCCAGAGTATTCTGGTTATTCTCCATGATGGCAGAGCCTCAGCCTGGTATTGAGTGAAACCCAGCCGGTTGCCTGGAAGCCACTGACCTCAGATGGAAGGCCAGGTCACAGTGTGCAGCCTGGAAGTGAGTTCTTTCCCCTTTCTTGGGGACAAACCTCTCCAAGGACCCGACACTCTGGAGCCCGCCCAAGCAACGAGTGGAAGGTGATGGTGCCTAATTGGTGACACCTTTATGCAAAAGCACATTCATTTCCTCTTTCCCAATGGACGGGGCAATGTCATGGTCAAAGCTGCAAGGCCACAGCAACAGCAATTACACCTCAGCACTTCTGCCAACATGCTGGGTTAATTGCCTTTGCAGACCTCTGTGCGAGGCAGAGCAAGGAGAAAAAACAGCTCAGACTTTCAGTAATCTCTTGGGGGTGACGCCTTCAACCACTTAAAGGGAATAAAAAAAAAAATCTTAGAAATTTCGGTCTCTTTTTAAATTCTTCCCAGGCTTACTCCATCGATCATCCAAGCTGAAACCACTCTTATGATATATTGTACGTGGAGACCACACTACATCATTGGAGTTCTGACATCGCCACGGTTCTGTAGTAGGTTATAATGCAAGGTAACAAATTACAGTGGTGGACACTGACAAATTCAGTTTTGGGGGAGTTTAAATTAATTTTAAGTGGCTTCAAGTTGGTTTAGAAAGTAATTTTTAAATAAATCAGAAGTGGACTGGGAAAGAGAGCTCCAAAGACTGACGTGCAGAAAGGAACTTCACGGCCAAATCTGGCTTTAGCAGTTCCTTGAGAGAAATGGGAGCATCACTTAGGTCCAGACGCCGCGCCTGCTATCCGAAGAACAGGGACAGCAGGGGGAGAAAGAGTTGACATTATAGGCAAAAAAGAAAAAAAAAAAAAAGGTATCATCAAATGATAACGTGTGCCTCTAGGATCCTATACTCAGTGTCAATTCATCTTACTTCCTAGAGGCAAAATTGAAGTTCTCCCTCCCTCCCTCCCTCTCTCCCTCCCTCCCTTCTTTCCTTTCTTCCCTCCCTCCCTTCCTTCTTTCCTTCCTTCTTCCCTTCCTTCCTTCTTTCTTTCCTTCCCTCCCTTCCTTCTTTCCCTCCCTCCCTCCTTCCTTCCCTCCCTCCCCTTTCTTCCTCTCCTCTCTCCCTCCCTTTCTTTCTTCCCTCCCTCCCTCCTTCCCTCCCCTTCTTTCCCTCCCTCCTTCCTTCCTTCCCTCTTTCCCCTTTCTTCCTCTCCTCCCTCCCTCCCTTTATTCCTTCCCTCCCTCCCTCCTTCCTTCCTTTCTTCCTTTCTTCTTTCCTTCCTTCCCTCTTTCCTCCTTCCTTCCCTCCCCTTCTTTCCCTCGCTCCCTCCTTCCTTCCTTCCCTCCCTCCCCTTTCCTCTCCTCCTTCCCTCCCTTTCTTCCTTCTCTCCCTCCCTCCTTCCCTCCTCCCCTCTTTCCTTCCCTCCATTCTTTCCCCTTCCTTCCCTTCCCCTCTCCTTCCCCTTCCCTTCCCCTCTCCTTCCCCTTCCCTTCCCCTCTCCTTCCCCTTCCCTTCCCTCCATCCTTCCTTTCCTCCATCCTCCCTTTCTCCCTTTTTTCCTTCCTTCCTTCCTCTTTTGTAGAGATAGGGTCCGACTCTGGTGCCCAGGCTGGAGTTCAGTGGCAGTTATAGTTTGACCCTCTGGGATCAAGCAATCCTCCTGCCTCAGCATCCCACGTGCTGGGACTATAAAAATGCACCACCATGCCTGGCTAATTTTAAAAATTTTTTATTTTGTAGAGACGGAGGCTGGCTATGTTGCCCAGGCTGGTCTCAAACTCTGGGCCTCAAGTGATCCTTCCTCCTTGATCTCCCAAAGAGCAGGGATTACAGGCATGAGTTACCTTGCAGAGCCTAAAAGTGGACTTCTTAGAG